CACTGGTGAGTTTTTATCTTGTTTTGTTCGTATGCTAGTACCCTGGCCTGGAGTTCTCGTTAGCAAATTCCTATTCCCTGGCGTTTTCTAAACATTCCGTGTAGTACTGAATACGTGATCAAGTATTCCGATTTGGGTAGATGTGGAATTTGGACATGCATTTTATAAAAAAATCTATTTTCCTAATAGAGCGTTTGTAGTGAAATTCAAATGGTTGCCCAAATACAACGAAATTGATTCTGCAGTTCTACAACTTGTACTGAAATCCAGTCAAAGTAAAAATGATTCTTCATGACAGTTGGGGTCAATGAAATCTGATCCAGGCATAACGAATAGTGACGCCTGCCACCCCGAGAACGAATGCCCATTTGGTGGGGGATACCTAAGTACTCGAAAGTGGTGCATGTTTCAATGTGGCATGGAAGTTTTATAATATGATCTCTGGTCAATGCAACATACGATAACCATCATGAATTGCAGGCCTCGAACGCAGCTCAGACCAGAATTGGCAGTTCCCTAAGTTTATAATTCCATGGCCCCAGCTGTGGTTATAGAAGTTTGTTTGCACATTATTCTTATAGTCGATAGGTTTATACTAATGGCCACAAACAGGGGCAGTTACTTCACTGACGTGTTCATGAGCTGAGAGATTTCTCTCCACTATTTCTGTTGTGCATACAGGTCTGTCCAATATGCATTGACGGTATTGGGTATGGTATCTGCTCTGAGAAGGGAATCGCTGGAGCCACAGTCCAACTAGGCAGGCTTTCAAGAAATGAGAGGATCCATCTTTCCAAGCTGATACCTGATGTGTACCGACAGAATTCTCACGAGATACCTTACGGACAACGTGTGGTGTGTACTTCATAGTACTCCTTCGACTACTATCTAGAATCAAGTCGACCGAAACAAGTCAAACAACTCTGGCTTCAAACGAGCCGTCGATTAGACAAACAAAACATTCTCTCATATACTGGAGCACTCTGACAACTCACGACCTATTCCTAACGATTTCCACCGCTTATACATATGTAGAGTGCTGATTGGAATGTGCTCACAATCCCAACAATTCAGTGCTATAATTATTTGAATAATGTGTTAGAAATTATTCCACTTTTCCTTCCATAAAACGGTTGTATCCACATATAATCCACAGTGCTCCGAAGTTTCAGAGTTCTCAGGGTATCAAACAAAATTATTTCAAATACAGTGAAATTGTTCGTGGACATTATAGCGTAACTACTTGTAATTTACGTGTAGTTCCCTGGTCCTTTTCTTTGCTATAAATTAATCCTTTGCTCTCTAGCCGCCTGCGAGTCCAACAGTGAAGTTGTTAGTTCATTTTTATAATGTGGGTATGTGGGAGGGGGTTGAACATATTTTTTATAAGGGACCTGCAACTGTAATACCACAGTACAGTAGCCGGCAAATATGTAGAAAACAGAAATGCATGTTCCCATCATTGTACATGGACGGGCGCAGCAGGCTGAAGCTATCAGCCAGAACAGGATTTACAATCACTTAGAGATACTTGAGCTATTCCAGTATTCTCCGTGAGCTGTCCCATTCCACAATGGTTCATGCCACCATTATTTCTAGTAGTATCCATGTGCATAGTTCCAAGACCATCTCGGATTCTTCAGCAATTTGTGCCACGGCAAAAGACAATGCTTGACTCGGTCACTGGGGCTGTCAAACTTCCCATCACAAATGAACTTCAATTTCTCATCTGTTTCAAGTATATGTACTGCCATGACTTGACCATGCTTCATCCACAGCTGGGCGAAGATTGTGGCGTTGAATTCCATAGCGCACCTTCTTGCTGCCATGCAGGAGTATGTTGAGAGAAGTGAACATATTTTTACTAAAAAACAACAGCCACTGACGAGGATAGCAATAGCCTTGGGTGAATTTCCTGCAGGTACACGTTGTTGGTAGGTCTACTGGTCGGTCTCCATATCGTCAAGTTCAGAAATCACCTGTACTACACATCTTGTAGAAGGGATCCTGATCGAATAATTTTCTGGTCATAAAATTCACTAAACTGAGGGCGAGACAAATAGTCAGTACTCCCGATTCCGTCAAGCTGCTTTGAAGTCTGGATGCACATGTGATGCTAACAAGCTCCCCCGTTGTTACTTCCAGCAGCTTCACTTTCCCTGCGACAGCGGCTATCAACCTCTCTCTCCATCGTAGACAATTATCACAGATTCAACATTCTACATTTATCAGCACTGCACTGGGTGAATATGTCTCGAGACGAATTTAGCGGATCAACAACGCTTCGTTGGAGATAAATTCTCCTCTGGAGGACCTTCAGGGTACCTGGATGGGTATAGAAGACGGGATCGCTCACGACGTTGAGAGAACATAGAAAACAACCTCCTCTTCGATTGAAAATTGGCCAAAAAGTATGTGAAATGTATGTGCGCAGATGCATTTCCACTGGCAAGCTAATCCCTCATTACGTCATCAGCGCTCGCTCGGCGAAATTCAAAAGTCGTCTTCCTGCTAGACTCGATCGCTTCTGGAGACTCGTTCTTGTTCGAGGGGTCTTCTCTTTCACCTACCTTCGTCTTGGCATCGAAAACTCGGCGTCGAAAATGAAGCCGGAGTGCCCCTTTAACTACTATTAAACGTGTTACTTTTGGCTAGCCTGTCGCAAGCGCGAGACTCATCATGGGCGCGCTCGAGCTGCAGCAAATGCGAAGCGCGACACACGCGCGAGCGCGACCCAAACTGTGTCACGTGTGTGTCGAATCTGACCGTCAAGATCGCCTTCGATTATTTTTCGTTCTACTCGACAATTCCAAAAATCAGTGCCATTCATTGGCTTTAGCCTTTAGCTTTGCCCTTGAACTTGAAATCTCGTGCCTTATTCTTTCTTGGGGACTGGTGTTGGATATTGAACGGGCGGAGTGACCGCCGGGATAATGGATGAAGGAGATGATGGCCGAATCTTGGCTGCGCGCATTCTCATTTTCGCGTGGCCTGCCACTAGTGTTTGATTCACAAAGGGTGTCACGGGCATAGCTGGAGGAAGAAAGGTGATGTGAACTTCAGAAGTTCTGCCATCGCAGCACTGTATAGAGGGCCATCAGAGGCTGTGTAGGCTGTATGTAGCATTGTTTGATTTAGCTCAGTGCTGAGCTTGCACCACACCACAGGTAGCATATTGAGTATTATTTACATTATCCATATTACTTGAACCGCTCTGTGAACGTGAGCGGTTCAGAAAAACCTTTACTGGCGCTGCCCCGTCGTAAAAGTAAGAAATTAAAACCGTGGCTCATTGTACCCCCAAATGTGAACTGATCCACGTAAATCGCGAATGACGTGACCCGAACGCAGCAGTAGCACGGGGATGCACTTGTGGTGTGCCGCAGGGCTCTGTACTAGGACCCATGCTGTTCTCCATACACCAGAGATATCCCCTCGGAATCTGCGCCGCATCATCACTGCAGTTTGCGGATGACATCGCCCTGACATGTGCAAGACGGACAGCGCAAGAGGTGTCTGATGCGCTCAGCTTGGCGGTTACCTCCCTCTCAAGTAGGCTGGACGCTCCGTGGTCTTGTATGAAATGCAACGAAGAGCAATGTATTGGTTTTTACCAGCAGCAGTGGGCAGCAGCCGGACGTGGTTGTACGCTGTCGAAATGATGTCCTTCCGCACACCACCAGCGCGAAATACCTCATCGTCTTAATCAATGAACAAATGGCCTGGCAACCGCAAGTTGACCGGTGCATCTCACGCACTGCTAGGAAGATCGGTAGTCTGTGGCGGGCGCGACGCTGCTTCACTCTAGCTAGTCGAAGCAAGTACTTCCTATCTGTTATCATGCCGGATTTGATATATGGATCGTCAGCATATGGCTCCGGCTTGACCCACAACCAGCTCTGCCTAGACTGCCTCCCGTTCATTTCTGTGCTCCTGTCTTTATTCTCGTCAGCTGTGTACTTCAGCAGTTCAATTCTGTGCTCCAGTCCTCTTTATTCTCGTGAGCTGTGTACTCGTTTTGCTGTGTGTCTGGTTTATTTGAATTCGCACAGTAAATGTGTACTTCAGTTATTCTCTCCTCCCTCTTCTGAGTTTGACTCTCCGCTGGCCTTCTCTCCTCCCATCCCCTTACATCGTATTGGGCCTCCGCACACACTACATTGTCACATAGCACAACTCAACCATTCGCTACCCTGTTATTGAGCACTCCTGCTGCTCGTTTGGTCTCGCAAATTCAAATAAAATCAATCAATCAATCCGGTTCCTACCTGTGGATGCAGCTGGGGACGCTGGTCCACAGGCCATGGTCGTCGATGAACTCCCATGTTGGATATCCGATGGAAGTAACTATGTGACTAGCAAAGTTACACTGCCACTGATACCATGCACTAGTGATGGTGTTACCCTATGATGTGCTGTGAACCTCTGCCCTCCCGACCTCGTGCTATTGGTGACTTCGGGTCCCGTCATTCGCGATTTAGGTGAATCAGTTCACATTTGGGGTACAATAGAGAGGTTAAGATGAACGTTATTTCTGACGTGACGCGAAAGTTCAGCTCGCGTTATTTGCTCGCACGTCGAAAAATCAATGCGAGCGACCTGCTGCTCACGTCGAAATTTGGAGTTTTACGCCAAATTAGACGTGAAATTGCGCGTCAATCCAGAAATAACGTGCATCTTAACCTCTCTAATGGGCCAGTTTTAATTTCTTACTTTTACGACGGGGCAGCGCCAGTAAAGGTTTTTCAGAAGCGCTCACAGAGCGATTTTTATATGGATAATTTCAGTTCTTTTTCCGTTCCCTCCCCACCCCAACCCGGAAGGTAAACATGATGAACACGCGCGCGATGTACTGTATGTAGGCATGAGAGTACGATAACACACTGATACATACCAGCCCTCTCCACCTCGCTTACCCCGCACACAGATACACACAAACACGCGGATACACACGGCACACATACGCACATGCACACGACACAAACAGGAAATTCTTCATGTAAAATGCCATGCAAAGCAGTGGCCACCGTACTTCAGGAAGTCAGTTGTGGAACAAAATAATTCAACTACAACGTGTAGACAAGCTAACGGCCAAAGCACAACATAGCAAACATGACATTTGCCCAAGGATTGTAGTTTGCAGACCACGCCATGGAAGCAGCGAATACAGAATGTAATATCATACAAATTGACAAGAAAAGAAGTGGCCACCATACACCAGAGACTTGCAGAAAGTCACATATCCAACAGATAGAAAAGTGAACAGCAATCTGGTACAGCCCACACAAGATAAAGCTGACCTCATACTTGTCCCAGGATCGCAAGTGGCAGATCCTTATCGATGCATAACATGCAGGTGTACGTTACACGCATGGACAAAATCTGACCGTGTCGCCAGCATACAATGTCATCACATGTATACCCCACAAGTTACACACATGCACAGTAGAAGCACAATGAAAGCAATGGAAAAGTACGATGTGGTTGCTGAAGCATCTTCGCACTTCAAATTCAGACTTCAATGTGGTCGTCACGAGATGATATACCTGCAAGATACAAGTGATGCAGAAAGAAAGCAGAAGGTCGTGAGGTAGGCTATGAGACACCACAAACGGGTCACCTACATGTATGTTCAGGGCTAGTGCACTCGCACGCAGAATTATCATAATCGAGCATTTCCCAAACTGAGAAGTGCAAGGAAATCCACTTGCATGCACAGGAGCAATTTTGCCGCTGGTGTGATGCGCAATTCGAGACAATCTGCGATGCTGCGTGCTCACCTCTGATGCCGATTACTTCCTTGCTTAGACCGGCCCGGTCTTCTCTCCCTTCACTCTCTTCTAAATCCTACTTGGAGCAGTAAGGCTGTGTCACTGCTCATTCTGATAATCCAGTGAGGTTGTGGTCATTGTTGTGAAAGCAATATCATCGTCATTGTGGTAATAACATACGTTTTTGCACAGCGGCTGGCGCTAGAACGTGCAGCAAGCAGCACGCTTGTACTTTGGATTTTGCGATTTTTTCGAGGGCAATGGCTTCCTTTTTGCTTTGGCTACCTACGAAGTACGACCAAAAAATCTATGAGAAGTATTTTTGGAGCTGGAGTACGAGTGGGGTTGTCTGATAAGTGCTAGGAGAACCCTCCTTTGTGGCTGTAGAGCGGTAAAACGTGCCCTGTTGGCCGAAAAATCCGAATTTTTTTCTCCCGGGGGACACCCCCGTTGTACCACTCCCAACCGCCCTGTGACGCCCCTGTCATTGTAGCTTACCTGCTGTCTTTCTTGGAGATGCAGTAGCAGCTGAGGACTTGCATACAATCTCTGTTTCAACTGCAACTATTTTCACAATGTTGTCAGGTATTGGTGCGGGCGACACACGCAGATTCTACACACGCAGAAGGAAAGAAACACCATGAACATATACCTGTTACTACATGTACATGTACATGTTGCCACTGTCAAATATTCCACAGGCAGATGGTGGGGATGGAGAGGAGAGCAACATCAGCAACAGCAGAAGCAGCAGCAGCAATAGCTGCACTATTAGCAGCAATAGCAGCAGCAGCAGTACCACACAGCAATTCACCACACCATACCTCAGATTGTATTCCCGGTATGAGCATAAAATGTCCAGTGGCCTTGTCCTCGCGAAACCGGCTTTCATACTCGTTCAACAGAATCTACAGCGCACGTTGCACAGGAGAATTCATACTCATTCAACAGAATATACAGCATACATTGCACAGGAAAATGCTTGTACATTGCAGAGGAGAATACTGGCTTTCATACTCGTTCAACAGAATCTACGGTGTACATTTGACAAGAGAATACAAGGCATAAAGATTAAGCAAATCTACGCCAATAGTTATGTATGTCCCTGAAGACAGGCTACTGTAAAACCGGAAAATTTGGGTGGAGATTTATTTTCGATAACTTTGGTTTTACCCACACATCACACACGACAACTTACCTCCACGGTCGACATGAGCTCCCCAGGATCCCCCAGCTCCTCGGGACACACCCTCACCATCGTCGTGGAAACGTTCAGCTCGGCCAGCAGCCATCGCAAGCCATCAATCTCATACGAGCTGAGACAGGCCATGACCGAGAGCAGGCAGGATGGCGGTGATGGAGGTGGCTTGCCGCCTTGTGAGCTGTTCCCATCTCCTGACGAAGCAGCAGCAGCAGCAGCAGCTGCCGCCGTCGCTGGCGACTGGGCTGCAGTGTCATCCGTTGACAGCAGTGGGATCTCGGCGCATGCGGACGCAGGAGAGAGCTTCGCTGCGTCCGTATCTGTCAGCGATCAGACAATCAGAATATACAAGCCCATATTTAGGCATAGGATAGCTGTCGTGAACAGCATTCAACCGGCAACACCCAACAACAAGAGTACTGTAATATCACAAATTGTTGGTGTACTTTTTTTTCGGTACGTTTGGTGCGTCTGTTTCATACCTAAAGTTTCAATACACCGAACAAACACTAACACACATAATCCAATAGGGAACTGCTTCTCTGCACCTAAAAGTTCTGTTCGCCTAACCTGGCCTTTTGCCCTCATAGTGAAAAATAGTGAGCACCTAAAATTTCTGAAATTAGAGTATATAACCCCCGAAGAGTGTGAAACTCCCGCACACCCTGCTGTCACCACAGAATTTCAAGTTGACGTCATTTTTATGATGCAATGTTCCACGCACCAGTGATTATTACGACATGTGTACGGCGAATCAACGCATCACACGTTTTTCTTTGCACTAGTCTGTACAAGGTCTAATGGGGCTTTGTCCACCACAGATTCCGAATACGTCTGATAAATTGTGATAATACGTGTACTGTGCAGCCTCTTCCCTTGTAAGAATAAGATCCTGTGCTTTGACACAAGAGTACACGGGGTTATGTAATCTTGCTTGACAGGATAACTACATATTTATGTTTGGATACTCCGAAGTGCAGTGATCCTGTTTTCTATTATTGTTGATGATGGTACAAACATAAATATTGCATATACACATCTTCGATATTGAGCTTTTATTAGAGAGGTTAAGATTCACGTTATTTCTGATGTGACGCGAAAGTTCAGCTCGCGTTATTTGGCTCGCGCGTCTAAAAACAACGCGAATGACCCGCAGCTCACGTCGAAATCACATCGACAAAGGACATAGCAGCAGAGACAGAATACTTTCTCGTTCTCAGGAAAATAAATTCAACAGCCGCGGCCACACGGAGATCGATTCCCCACATTTTGTATTTTTAAGACACAGAGGGAATCATAGTGGTACAAAGTGAAGTGTACGGAGATGGAGAGAGGGAGATGGAGAGAGAGAGAGAGAGAGAGAGAGAGAGAGAGAGAGAGAGAGAGAGAAAGAGAGAGAGAGAGAGAGAGAGAGAGAGAGAGAAAGAGAGAGAGAGAGAGAGAGAGAGAGAGAGAGAGAGAGAGAAAGAAAGAGAGAGACACACACATACACACACAGTTCCACGGCAACATCGATGAACGACGTAGGAGCATAACAAAACAGAAACCTTCATGCACAACTGCAAGCCTTGGAAAGCTCACACAAGGCATTGGCGTGGTAGAGTTGTAGAAGATATGACAGACATGCACAGCACAGCTCACGTACCTTAGTAGTTTCTTCAATGTCCGCCACGGCAAGCTGACCGCTTATGTTGAAACTGTGCAGAAAGTTTCCACCAAACACTAGCGAATCCACAGGAGTGTGAACTGCATGAATCCAGCCTGTCAACGAACAAACACACACACACACACACACACACACACACACACACACACACACACACACACATACACACACACACACACCTCAGACCTCAGACCTGCCCATCGCGGAAGCGATGATAGCGAACATCTATGTTAGACATAGCAACTTGTGCTGGGATTACACCATTCAACAGCTTGCAAGGCTGATGAATTGACCGCCACTATTTTTAGCCTGGTATCCACCACACAGCTGCACACATACATGCACACACACACACACATTACACCTTCAAGCAGCCGAGCCTGTTGGCAACAGACCCTACACAATCAGGCATAAGTGCACCCACCAACCGAACTAGCTGGCACACACATACACACACATACACACACTTACACACACTCACTCACCAGTAGGAATGACAAAAGTCCAGCCTGGTTCAATTCGACGCGGGCACACGTCTCGACCATGTCACCCAGGAAGATATCCTGCTGTTTACCGGACAACACCCACTGCTCATAGATCTGAAGATTGATTGGGGTCGGAGGAATCAGCCAGAAAACCTGCAGTGCACAACAAACACACGCACACACACGCACGCACGCACGCACGCACGCACGCACGCACGCACACACACACACACACACACACAAACACACACACACACACACACACACACACACACGGCCGCATTGTAAACAGTAGAGTTAGTCACACGTTTTTACACTGAACCTCAACGGCAAAGAAGGTGTTGTGAAACCTCTGGTTCTCTAAAGTGTCAGGAACGAACGACCACACGGCACGAGGACAACTATTTTATTCTTGACAGTATATTTGACTTCGATGGACTATAACAATACTGAACAGTAATAACAGCAGCAGGTATTTATAGCATGCAAAACAGTGTAGATGTGTATGAAAAACATACACATATAAAACATGACATTACAGCGTATACTGTAAACTACACACAGCGCATATAGCGTATGCCATGCACCAACATCAGCGCTACGGCCGAGTCGCAATACAACATTGCAATGAATACAATGCCATAAGCGAGAAGGCCTTTCCCACTTGAGAACTGGTGGTTTGCAACAGAAGGGTTAGAGCACCGCTGCCCTCAAGTGAAGGCCCCTGGCTCGAGTCCTGGTGGCGCCAGTCAATTTTTTCTTCAGACGTTTTCCCGTTTGCATCTTTCCCTCAACCAATGAACAGGTAAAAGAAGGCGGTGTGACTTACAATCGAGCGTGACTTCTTCCTACGTAATATGTACTGTATTGAAACAACTTGGCTCAGACCTGTTGCGACTTATCATCAAGTGCGACTTCTAATCAGTGAAATGCTGTACACTTAAGCCAATGCCAGCTTTCTTCTTCTCATTCCACTTCCTTCTCAGGTTCTGCTACAAGACACATTCGTGATTATAAGGAGCTTGTCAGTCAGAAGGATGGACAGAGAGGTAAATATACATACAAGTACGGATGGATGATGGGTAGAGAAACAGACAGACAGACAGATAAACAGACAGACAGATAAACAGACATACAGACAGACAGACAGATGTATGTCTGTATCTACACCCATCGTCCATCTATATACTGTGTGCATGTGTGTGACACAAAAACAGACAGGCGTGCAGACAAACAGACAGGGAATGCTGACCTTTCCACCCTTGAGCATATGATACCAGACGGATGTGCCACCAAAGTCGATACGGAAATCTGTGTAGCAGCCATCGACGCTCATCAGGCAGTACCTGTGACAGCACGACATCACCACAAGCAACAGCAGGAGACCAGCAACAACAAAACCAGCTCCATCAGTAAGCCAGCAACAGCAACAGCACAAGTAACAGCAGTAGACCAGCAACAGCAACAGCCACACAATCAGTAAGCCAACAACAACAGAAGACCAGCAACAGCAGCGCCAGCACAACCACCAGCAGTAGGGCAGCCAGCAACAGCAACAGCAACAGCAGCACAATCAGTAAGCCAACAACAGCAGCAGCACCACAAGCACCAGCAATAGCGCAGCTACACCTGGAGTACTATCAACAGCACCAGCAGTCGGCCAGTAACAGCAACACCGGCGGCAGCAGCAGCACCATCAACAAGAACAAACAAAACACATACTTTTGCACTTTGGGATATTTCATGTCGACCAGTCGGTTGGTGGCCTCCTGCTGCAAAGCGCGCAATATTTCCGGCCACTCCAAGTCCACCCAATTCAAATGACGTACCTGCGTGCAACAACAACAACAACAACAGCAACAACAAATACAACAACAACAACAACAACAACAACAACAACAACAACAACAACAACAACAACAACAACAACAACAGCAATAGCAGCCGCAGCAAGCAAGCAGTAGGAAGAAGAAAAGACAAATGAGCAATTCGTACACGGTTGCGAATACATACTATACAGCTTGTGATGGGGCAATGATAAACCAATATAAACACATTGCACAAACCAATCAGGAGTTAAAAATCCATACTTTCTCAAAACGAGCCTAAGCATGATCATGTATGACATGAGCCTCAAACGCCCACCAAACCCCCCAACACGGCATACAGGGGAGACAGTAGTGCAGTGGAGTGCTCAACTACAGTGCACTCATTTCTCACGGCTCCTATCCGGACCTCCAAGTTACGGGCATCTTGGTTTACGGGGAACCCTGTGAGTGAGTTTTAGTGGATATATTACTACTTTTCTACCAATTTGTGGAAATACCAGGAGTGACGTAATATGCCAGATCTACGTGCCTTCCACATCAAGATGTACATGATTACGAACATTTCCAAATGAAGGGCAGAGCCCCCGGTCCCGGACTGCCCGGATACAACAGATAAGATGTAACGTTACATGCATAGGATTGATTGATTGCAGCCTATATCAATCATATCTTCACAAAATTGTAGTCCAAGTTGCTGTCTGATGATCGGTTAAAACCGTGAAACTCAGAGTTACAGCAGAAACGCTTTTGATCCTCTCAAGTGTATGTAGGAGTGCTCACGTTTCGCATTCGTGTAGCACCTGCACAAGAGAGTACATGGCGTGCGCCAAACACACACACACACACACACACACGCACACACACACACACATGCGTACACACACACACACACGCACACACACACACATGCACTCGTACACACACGCACACACACACACATGCACGCGTACACACACACACACACACATAAACACACAATGTAGCTCCATGTCTCTTGGAACCTAAGAAAACACCCAAAAGACACCATGCCACCAAGACTTGCACTGAAAGGCTTACTTTGTAAAGTTTGCCATGCTCATGGTGGAGCCTTGTTGTGAGGACACATCCATGATGTCAATAGTACGCCCACGCCTGCCCATCACCCAAAGACCCCCTAGCGATCTCACTGGCCCATTGCCCGCCATCCTCCTGGCACCTCCACCCATCTGCTGTACACTGCCTCCCCATCGCCTCTTTCCGCGCTTTCATGCTCACACCTGCCTGTTGCCTGCCACTCTCCTGGCGCTTATACTGTCGCGCCGTGGCCCGCGCCAGCTGTTCTCCCCATACCTTACACCAGATTTAGCGCTAAATTTGTTTATGCTTGTGGCCCTATGTATTTATAAGCATACTGACTCACTGTTAGGTAGACCCGAGTATCAATTGTCTGATGATTGCCTAACGGCATGAAACTCAAGAGTTACAACCAACCTGAACGTCCTCCGCTGAGTCTGCTATGATTTGAAAACTTCGTATGGCGGAACCCAGATGCGCATGCAGTTTACGTAA